TTTCAACGTTTTACAGTCGACTGTATAATTTGTCCTGTTGACTATATATTTTCCCATTTTGCTCTATTGACACACCTTAGATAACTGTATGTGTCCTCAACCGAGGAATGTCTGTCGATATTTACACACCAACAATACACAGGCGTAATGATGATTATAAATAATCGGTGTCGTCCACTGACCTTAAACCATCCTAATGTATAATGGAACGCGTACTGACACCCGCTTTATTGGTAATATTAGTGTGTATCGGTGTGTCAACAACTAATAGCACTGATTGCTTTTTCCGTATGCGTTTCATGCTTACGAGTACGTGGTAAAACGTGGATTTTCTCCGGGTACTACGGTTTCCTACCACATTAAGACCTCCGTGCGGTAACATCCAGGCCAACAAGAGTGATTAATATATAAGTTGTAAAAACTTGTTTCATAATTGTTGTAAAAGAAATTAAGTTTATATTAACTCCTTTAAGCATGTTTGTGCATTATTTTTAAGAGAAAACTGTGAATAAACTATAAAAGATAACTTATTACACAAATGAGGTCAAGGTGTTGATACAAATGCACTAGAGTAATCCATTTCCCATTCCATGTCATATACTGTTTTATTGTACCGATGTAAACTACGTATTTACAATCAATCTCACCCTGTACTAAATATATGTGAATATATACGGGTTTCCATGACATACCATAGAATGTTTTATTGTATAGAACTAATGTACCCGTTTACAATTCCTCTCCATCTGGTCCTTATATATGTGAATATATACGGGTTTCCATTTCATATCATTGTATTATTGTATAGAACTAATGTACCCGTTTACAATCACTCTCCATCTGGTCCTTATATATGTGAATATATACGGGTTTCCATTTTATTCATTGTTTTATTGTATAGAACTAATGTACCCGTTTACAATCACTCCCCATCTGGTCTTTATATATGTGAATATATACGGGTTTCCATTTCATATCATTGTATTATTGTATAGAACTAATGTGTACCCGTTTACAATCGCTCTCCATCTGGTCCTTATATATGTGAATATATACGGGATTCTATTTCAGTGTTAGTTGACATCTCTATCGGTCAGTATCTTGTCATAGCATTATGTGTGAAAATTAATAATTAGCTTCAATGTATATATATCCTTTTCCGTTATACTACAGAGTCAAGCTTTGTCCAAATCTCATATGTTATTCACGAGCTGGTGATAACATGACAACGATTTAGATACAATGTATGTGATTACTGTACATACATATGCAAGTATACTTATATATCAGTCAGTAAATCGGTGATACAATCCTGTCAGCAGATGTAGTTACCTGGGACCGGCTGTTTGACACTTTGTTAGCTTAACGAGTCTAAAACGGAAATTTTCAAAATTCAATATTTGATCAATTTTTAAATATTTTGGATGGTCTAGACGATTTGAGCTTAGAAATATCGTTAACTAATAGAGATGTGAACGGTTTGGCCCTGAATAAAGAGTAACCTGATTAGGAACGATTCAGACATATTTCGTGTAGATATTTGTCTTCAGTCCACTTATATTTAATCGTTGTATGCTTCCTCCCTCCCCTGAACCCTCCACGATTGTGCTCCAGTTTTATAAGACGCATATATTTCGTCTATTTCGAAAATGTATTACCAATATTGGATTGATAGACTGTAGAGGGTTACAAAAGCACGTCTTAATGAACTATCCCATTACAACTTAGTATGTGCATTTCTAAATATTTTGTTCTTAATCATATACATACAAAACATTTTTGTAAAAGTCTTTCACCGTTGATTCTGCAAAATTCAGTCGGAAATCATATCTTTATTAATCTCTTGCTAATTAGCAGGAGCAGATATCACTCATGTCTATAAACAGCTCTATAGTATACGTCATCTACGATATCTCAAATCACAACTTATTCTGAACGATTCCCTGACATGTACCGTTCCGACTTTGTTGCTGGGTTTTACCCATTAAGGCCTATATAACCAGTTCCACATAGAACAAGTTATGACACGACTATTTAGGAAGTGTCTACGTTAGGAAATGTCAATCATCACCTGGTAGACTACGCCCACCCGGACACTGTTACTAGGGACGCAACTGACTCCTTACCGTGTGGCAGTGTATTGGTACAAGGACAGTTACAGATATACGCTATATATCAGAGTTATGAATATACCTGTTTTAAAAATGAACCCAGTAGATCATAAATAGTGAATAAACTGTATATGACACTTCCATACGCCTATAAAGAAGTGTTAATAAACTAAAACGTCTCACACAAATAAAAAAAAAATTGCAAGTTCACATAACAACATAACTCATGATCAGCGATGCATTCATCAGCAAGACGTGTGCTATCGAGTTGATGCACAGGGTTTTACTATTAGGCATGGGAAGTTAAATACTGTCATATGAAACGGAAAAAGGTAACCATCATTAATACTTGTGTAAGATAATATTATTAATGATATATTTGCTGGGTTGGGGCCGATTATGGATGGATTGAGTATATCTGATCAATCCCTTCATGGTTTTTCCTCTGTGGAGGTGGGGTCATAAGTCTTATTCATCAGTTCATACCTTTTTTTCAGAGGAAGATATGAGTATGACATTTTCTGAGATTTCCGTTAATATCTTTCATCAGAGTAAACAACATGATATACTAAATAAAAAACCTTACGTTAGCATTAAGCATTAAGTAATATATTTGTATACGGAACAAAAACACCATGCAGAAATAACGCCTTGTCATCAGACACGAAACATTCAATCCATATTTTCACACGAACATCTGAACTGGTTTTCTCATAGTCTCTGTACGGTCACATACAAAGCCAGGTGCGTTACTATGCATAAAACATATGTGTACTCATTCTGTAAATGAAAGATTTTTATGCACGAACACATTTGTCAATCTCATACTGCGGTTATTGAATGATGTGTATCGACCTGTAAAACCTTAGAGCATAGCAACAAGGAAACAAACGTAAAACTTCGCTGGTGTCTGGTTTGAAGTCTAATGTAGTGTATGTATTTCTTTTTTAGTGTAAATGGTCAGGTTTGAATAACGACACTGGGGTGTGTCAGGTTCCCTATACTTAAAACTGCTTTGTATAGGTATCAGGAGAACATTTATCTATCGGTCCCAAATTATAATCTAACTGTTCATAATTTAAACCTTACTGTTCTTTATTTAAATATAACAGTTCAAAAATGTAATCTAGGGGTTCATAATTTAAATATTACTGTTCAAAATTTAAAGCTAACTGTTCAACATTTAAATCTAACGGTTCATAATCAAAACGTAGCAAGTAATATAAATTTATTTAATTAATACGGCAGAAGACATTATTACAGATTCACCAGGTAGTGCAGGAGAACTATCACTCCTTTGCGATGTAGATAAAGAAATTTTAACCCTACGGTACGATTTTTGAAGTTAAACACGAGGATTTGCCGAGTGTTTAACTTCAAAACTCATTGTCTCAATGGTTGCAGCTTCTCTGTCGTCATCACAGAGGAGTTATTGATTATTTCTCCTACAAATTTTCTATCGTAAATAGTATATGTTATGGCAAACCCAATACACCGCGCCGTCTGCAAGGTCGCATGGAAAGTGTGACACAGTTGCTAACGCTACCCTGGTTACTCTGTATACAATGATGACGTGATCGTGACGTGTTCAAAATACGTGAATGTGTTTGTGAAGTGTAAGAGACAAACATTCCCCTTTCTAAGCACACGTTTCCGGTTTTCAATCTGCCTTGGAACAGAATGTCTTTTCCTTGATGTGTTGTTTCAGCAGTTATTGTTGTTTTCCCTGTGGTTCGAGTTCGGATCTGGTCTTGTGTATTGATAATTTCGTATTTCTTTCTATTTGTGATTATTTGATACCATAAGTTACAGAAACTATTTACTATTTAGATTTCCTGATTATGACTTTTTTAAGGAAAAAGAATAATATCCAAACTATTATGAAAGCATCAAACATCGGATGAAATAACAATAACCACTTTAATCTTAAATATATTTACAGTAATATGTGCATATTTGTCAGTTTGTGATAAAACGATGTCTATATTGAAGTGTTAAAATTGTATTACATCTCAATCTAGTTAAATCATCAAGTAATTTGCTTTGATGCTTTGTTTTGATAATATTATCTAATTTTAATAAAATGATTATGGCAACATAGCAAAATGGAAATAAATCGGTTTTCCTCCTTATTACATATACAATTACATGAGTATTACTTACTTTGATATATGTTCATTTTAATCATGACAATATATTGATGTTCTATAAATATCACAAATTAATTTCATATCATACACCTATCGACATCCTGACTCAATGCATTATTTTAAAAGCAAGTCCTCACTAACTTTCCACCTTTTAAGAGAAATTATTCGTCATGATAAATTACCCGGTACCAAAGAAATTTTGACCTGTCATCATCGGAACTTAATTTTGAGGAGAAGTTTTGAAATATTTTGAAATAATTCTCAATTGAAAATTCAAATAAATCTGACAGAGATAAATACAACTCTCGTCTGTAACGCCATTTATAAAGCTTATTAGACTATCGAAAATCTATAAGGAATGGTATATATTTGTCTATCATATGTACACAGGTAAAAACTGAGAACCCTTGATTTGATAAATATATCCTTTCTTTATTTCAAAATATAATATAACTATATTGCCTGGCAAGCTTAAAGATCGTGTGATTGGAATTAGAAGCCAATTTGAATGCGGTATGACTGTTTCAAAATAGGTTGTTTGTATGTTATTTATTTGTTATCAAGTACTCGTATACCGCTATATCGCTTATCAGCGGTAAAATGTCTTTACTTGCATTACTTAATACCGGTTATTAAAATAAACGTTGAAACAAAAATAATGATTTTTTTCACGAGTTATCAATTTGTGTTGTTTTCTAATTTGAAACGGTGATTATCAACGTGTTTTTTGCATTTAAATGAAGAAAAAAATATATCAAAACAGAAACCTTTATTAGGAAATAGTTTGGCATCACAATAAATAGTACGTGTATACATAACTTAAGAGGAAATATATAATACTTAGGTCAATACTATCGAAACATACATGTATCGATGAGGTAGTTTACAAGTCCTAGTTACACAGTTTGGTGTCCTTCAGTTCTTGATATATGTTTTTTTACAGCACATTGAAACACAGTCATATAGTGTTTGTTATTTATTTGAAAGTGAAATCTTACTGAACATTAGGCCAGTTGTTTCACAGACTGGAGCAAGGCAGCAGTTAATGATGGTACCAAAGAACTTCTGGGCGCATCCGCAGTAAATACTAAGCATTTTGAGCATGGGTGTCACACACCAAACCATTTCAAAGGTTATCATGGCAAACTCACAACCCCAGTATAGGGCGATGCAAATTCCACAAAGACAGGTCATGAACTTGTAGCAGCAGTTTTTACCGCAGGTGAAACACCAGTAACTGTTCTTCCACACACAGGCAATGCTATGTACACCGTCAGGCTCTCCCAAAACATCCTCAAAGGCAACCTTCAAGATAGAAGCAAAACAATGAATTATTCGCAAGTTCTTGACGTATAATTTAAGAGCACCATCATCGTAGCTCCATAATATTAAACATTGAAATTCTATTGAACGATCCGTTGCAGTTTTTAAGTCAAAATGCCTCCTTCTTTTTCACAGCATACTTCTTATCAAATTGGCTGTTTTCCGAAAAAGCTCGTTTATTTTTGAAAAATATACAAAATCCAAATGATATAACATTTTTTCTTATGTCTCATTTCAAAAGCTCTTTCACATTGATATTTGCTTAAAAATGCCCTAGATATGATCAGCCACACTGCCTAGACATCACCGAGACAGCTCCGGTGCAATGTCATGTGTTGCTACTACATATTCAAACCAATTTGAAAGGTTATTGCGATAGGCAAAAAATCCCTAATCATTTACATTATGGTTAATATAAATATATAAAAAATCATTTTTATTCGTTAAATGCATGATGCAACTTGTGATATATTTCTGTAAAGCAAAATAAACCATACCTGAACATGACTATTCAATGCGTTAGGATCTCTGCCATCCATGTCCAACTCCATGATGGATTCCCGGTGAGATTTTTCTGCCTAAGATGGGCTCGTAATGAAACGAGTTTTTATGTATTCCCATTTAAAAGGACGTTGGTGTATCTATCATGGTGATATTTTGTTGATTTCCTCTGTTCATAACGACGTAAACTGCCAATGGTATATACATATCAGATTCAATTATGACCAAATTGAGTTGGCTTGGTCTTAGAAATAAGTCAAAGTGATCGACTTATCGCTTTCTGTGGGTGCAATCAACCTTTTCAGTATCCAACAACGGTGCTTTTAAATTTGTACGGCGTTCTCAGGTCAACTCTCATTTACTTCTTCAATATATCGAATCGAATAACGAAAATTTGCATCTTGCTGCATAGAAAATTTGTCGAGCGAAACTATGGTTGATTGACATATACACCGAATAGAAACCGAAATCCAAAGTAAATTCATGCCGACAGAAACATACAAGGATAAAAAGAATCTCTTAGACGAAGTAGAGGTCCGGTTCATTACATACACACTTTAGTCATTATTTAATTTGAAATTAAGGAATTACGAACTTCTACTTTCATATTTTGAATTCATAGAATTAAGGGGTATTGCACACATTTTCTTCTGTTTAAGCCATTTTTCATACGAATTTGGAAATTTCATTTGTTTTGCCTTCCATCATCCATGTGTTCAATGAGGACGAAACAGCTGTAATAAATTGTTGGCTTCAGTACATTTATCAAGCGGTACAAGCTTACGAAGGTTCGATTTGAGATATTGCCAGAGTACATGTATTTACATATGTATGTTCGTGATAATTGTTTAAAGATGTTCAGAATGTAATTTTCAAAGATGTTTTCGTATTATAATATACACTAAGTTTGTGTTTTACTCGGCATCTTTTGAAAACTGCTTTTTAGAAACATAATTGCTTACCGAGTTGTTTTCAGCTGTATGTGGACTACAAAAGCAGCAATATTCTCTTCAGAAAGGACACGGGTGTTTTCAAAACAAATTAGGCTCATGATCGATAGTGATCTTGTTTGAAATCCAGAATGTCAATGTTTTGATTTCAATTCTAATAATGATAGAAATTTTATTTATTTCCATTTCCATGCAGGTTATCCATTTAATCAGTCTTCATACCACCAATTAAGTTCATTTTGTTGACTTGATCAACGATCTCGCCAAAAAAACAATGATTTATTGACTATATCACTGTACCTAAAGAAACACCGTTCGTCTATCGATCGACTATACCAACTGATAATATACCAATCAACTACATAACACTTGATGAACAACTGTACACGACATTAAAATGTAAAAGATAACAAATCAATCGTTAGGCGTTAAAACATTTCTATTAAAATCTACATATTGTGAATATAGTATTGTTATGGTAAAAACCCATGTATTTGTAAGTAAGCGGTATTCGCTTTTTCAGTGCTATAGGGATTCTTTGACGATTTAATGAACTATGACGCCTTGTCTGAATCGTTGCAGTTTCATTAACAAGGTATTCAATGGGAAAGTACATGGTGTGGAGCGTGTTATAAATAATTAACAAAGGCATACACTGACATCTATTTCATGAATGACATCCTGAAAAATCGTGTTTACAGACTGACGTCAAGCATCAATAATTTGTACACATTTACACTTAAACACAATTACTAGACAGTCTATAAATCAGGCCTAAATGACATGTAAAATACTTATATTCCCTTGTATTTTCAATTTGATCCAATAACCTTGGAATGTAGACTTTCACGAGTTTTTGTTTTACATTTATATTCAAATATTTGGATGCTATCATTAAACACAAGTAAAACAAATGTAAAGAACATACCATATGTCCTCGAAACATTTTATCATTTAACTTTTGTATATCTGATATAAAAAAGTAACGGCCTCGTGTTATGTTAATAGTTGTATGGGTTGCTAGTACAGTTTGGTATGAACCATGCATTACCACGTGTCAAATGTGAACCGTTTATGACAAAAAGAAAACGAAAACATGGGCAATACAAATTTACTGTCAAAACGGTATTTATACTGTATATCATGAAATGTTCGTTGTGTATAAACATTCGTGGTTGCTATTGAACCACGAAAATAACTACAACTAATTTGAATGATATACGTGTCTACCGTTTGTTAATAAAGGATATCTACGAACGTTTGTACCACGAAACGATCTAAATAGCTTCATACCACGAAGGAAAGTACCCACGAACATTTCATGTTATACAGAAAGAGAACGCATTTCCCTTCACAGTTAGTACCTTTGACTATTATTTTTATGACTACTATTAATTTACGACAAAGCATCCTTCTATTTCATAAAATTAATGTTACCAAAACTGATTTGTTAAGATACATGCGCATCATGCATACTATTCATGGTCATATAATTTTCATCAAAGGAATGTTTATTATGAAATGTATACAGAAAGTGTATTGATAAAAAAGGACTTTTCGTAACAGAAAAAACAACGCGATGATAATAGGTCATTTTTTTAAAACACCACACTTTTATTATACTAAGTCATATCACAAAATATAGAGAAACCTGATTCAACTAGTATGTTCTCAAAACATATCACAGATGTGTAATGGAAACTAATGGTTTTTTAATGATACAAATAATCATGTGTTTTTCTGATAGCGACCTTCATGCATGGTTTGTTCCATTTTCTTTGGGTAATGAGATAATAAAAGCAATATCTAGACATACATAAAAATAAACGTTTATCGAATGTGAGTATTGAAGCGTTTACCTTCATCTGAAGTATCGATGCAGTTCGTTGTAAATCGCAACTTTTAAAATAAACATATCAAAAAGTTCGGTCTTTTGTCATATTAATTGGTTATCGATCTGATGTTTACAATTTATAAAATGAGTAGCAAAGTGTCTTTCAGTGATGGAACCTGCAATCCATGATATTGCTAAGAAAATGTTAAGGCGTATTCGTATTGTAGACGCAATATCACAGAACTCTATATCCTGGTCCATTAAAAAAGAGCTACTTTATGTATCAATGGCACTGTCCCTGCACTCTAAATACACGGTTCCTGTTCTGGCAAGTGACAAAATCCACATTTGGATCAGCAATCAACACCGCTGTCCCCCCTCGCCATGATTCACAGATATTCGACTGAAGAACAAACCACAGGTTTCGCAGACAGGCGCCATGCAGCAGTTAATAACAATACTGAAGAACTTCTGACAACTTCCACAGTAGATAGAAAAGATTCTCAGCGTGGGTGTCACACACCAGATTTGGTCAAACGCTATGCATGCAAACTCACAGCCCCATGACAACGCAATGCACATACCACAAAGAAAGGTCATCCAACGGTAGGCGCAATTTTTACCACAGTTAAAGCAGCAATAACTCAACTTCCATACACAGTCACAGCTGTGGGCACCATCTGGCTCGGCCAACACATCCTCGAAGGAAACCTAAGATCATAAAAGAGAATTAAAAGTCTGAGAAAACTTTTGTTTAATTAAACATTGATGAACTTTTTCGTATTTATTTCGTGTTAGACCGTTCAGTTGATTATTCCTAATGCAACTTTTGTAGATAAACATCAAATTCATTTCGGAAATGGAAAATAATTAAATCCCGGATATCGAATTTTTAGGATTACTGACGATGCAGCCTGATAGGCCTTTACTAACTAGTTATGTTGAATCCCATCTTACCTTAACTCGATTTTATATGCATACTGGGGCTGTAAAATAATGTGACTCTAAAAGTCATAGCTCCTATCTGTCGAAGCTCTTTCATGCTTTTCTTTCGATTCACGCGAATAGAAAATACTCGCATAAAAATAAGCCAAGCGCTATACATTGCATGACATAACGAAACAAATATATACAATAACCATACCTTGACATTAGAGTTGATGTCATTTGGGTCTCTGTTGCCTAAATCTACTTCCATCATTTATTTGATACTGCTGCTGCACCTTGTGACACTGTCCCCAAACTGCTTGCTAAAACAACAAACCTTTCGTTTTTATTCACGAGATGTTGAATGCCATGACTACCATGTTTGGTACACTATCTTCGATACCGTATCCAAGGGTATCGATCCTATTGTTGCTGGTGGTGTCACATTAAATCATCTTTGTCAAGCTGTAGCTAAACACTAGGAAATACTTGCTTCAAAATGGTTTTCCTTACAACATATTTGAATAACAATCATAAACAGAACTGCACCAGAGAGAGGAAATATGCATATTGCTTGAACATGGCACAACCTGGAATGCTTCAGTAGCCATTGTTAAGTTAACAAAACAAAACACTGTCCTAACGATGAATTTTTAAGAAAAGCGTTGATACTTACGTGTTGCCATGCCCTCCGGAGTGGGAGTCCATCATTCACCTATTGTATTGATTAATAGAGTAGTATACCTGTAATTAGGTATCCTTGCTGACAATGTATCTAGTGCAGTGATGCCAACAGTTTTAACGTTAAATACATCGCATGACATTAAATCTTCAGATCAACAATAGGATGGTGACAATAATGCAATCACGAAATGACAAGAGAAGGAAAGCATGGAACATGGGGGTAAAATAGAGAAAAAAACATCCTATAAGGACAACAAAATAAATTAAAAAATATGACATGCTTTACATAAAAAGCAAATAATGATTATGTTGAATTATCGCGATGTACTTAGTAATGAACCAATATACAGTAGCTCATAGCTTTATACATTAGCGTGTAGTTATACACAGTAGCGTTTAACTTTATACAGAAGCGTGTTGTTATACACAGTAGCGTTTAACTGTATACAGAAGCACGTAGTTATACACAGTAGCGTTTAACTTTATACAGAAGCATGTAGCTTTACACAGTAGCGTTTAACGTTATACAGAAGCGTGTAGTTATACACAGTAGCGTTTAACGTTATACAGAAGCGTGTTGTTATACACAGTAGCGTTTAACTTGATACAGAAGCGTGTAGTTATACATAGTAGCGTTTAACTTTATATAGAAGCGTGCAGTTATACACAGTAGCGTTTAACGTTATACAGAAGCGTGTAGTTATACA